AAATATTTATTTTGGGGGGCTGGAGAGATGGCTCAGCGGTTAAGAACACTGTTCTTGCAGACAAATTTTAAAAAATTAAAAAATAAAATTTAAATAAAAACAAAAGAAAAAAATTTAATATTTATTTTTATTTTAGGTATGAGTGTATTGCCTGCATGTGTGTAAGTGCACCCGTGTCATGCAATGTCCATGGAGGTTGGAAGAGGGCATCGGATCCCCTGGAACTGGAGTTATGGACAGTTGTTAGCTGCCATGTGGATACTGGGAACCAAACCCAGGTCCTCTGCAAGAGCTGCCAGAGCTCTTAACCGCTGAGCCATCTCTCCAGCCCCACCATTTGATATTTCAGAAGCAGAAGCTGAGAGATAAGGAACCTCTAGAAGGACTTTGCTAAGACTGTAAATTCCGAAGTGATCTCAGCTCATAGGATGGTGGGTAGAGAATGAGAAGAAGGACCTCCACCCTGCTGGCGAAAGTCCATCTGCCTGCTTAGTCTGCACTCCTGGGACACTTGGCCAATGGCTAGTTCCTCAACCCCCATCCCTGGGAGCAGCCCCAATGTCCAGGATTGGCTCTGTTAGACACCTACATTGGAAAACTGGCTCCTGGGGCCTCATGCCACCCGATAGAGGTGATACCGCAGGCAGTGTGGCCCCAACCTTCCATCTCAGAACCATGTGGCTTCTCACTTCTACACAGTGGCTCCATCCTTCTTTCCACTCTCAGAGTGCTCCGGTCTAAGGCTCTACTCCACTCTTATGCATCCCTCAAGACACAGTTCAAATGCCCCCTTCTCTGAAGCTGTCCCAAGCAGACCACCTTCCACATCACATCCTAGCCTTCTGGTCCAATTAGCCTTATTGTTTTAACCTTTACCTGATGTTTTTCTAAAACACAGAATATATTTCTCCTGAGCAAAACCTCCACAGGGTTACCAAGACCTAAAGTAGTTGTTTGCAAACTTAAACAATCGTGACTCATCTAGAAGGCTCTTAAACTGTAGGTTGCCAGGTGTCACCCCAGTTTCTGATCAAGCAGGGCCAGGTGGAGCCTGATCACCCACATGACTGATAGTTCCCGGTGGTGCTGAGGCTGCTGGTATGAGGGCTAACCTCTCTACCTGAGGTGTAAACTCTTCACCTTGACATGCAGGCCTCCTACAATGTCATCTCAATCATTGTACCAACCCCACCTCTCCCCAGGGGCTGCCCCAATCCAAGAACAGCTATTACCCTGTCAATCAAGTTCCCAGGAAGAAACCACACCTACTTGGAACATTCTATAGACTGACTGGAACTTCAGTGATTGGGGGAGTTTGAATGTTGCAGGTCCAGAGCCAAAATATCTTGGGCTATCTTGGCCCTTTTAAGGAACCATTCATTGCACATCTTTGTGTGTGATGTAATATCCTGTGGCTACAAGACAAATTCTTTTGGAATGTATAAACAGACCCCTAGTTTCCACCATCCCAAAAGCTAAGAATATCATCAAACAGCATCTGAGGCCTACAGATTTCCCGCTTTACTATAACCTGCCTACTTGATGTTTTCATCCATGTATTTTTTAAGCGCCTTGATTTAGGGCTTTCTTTGTTGTTGCTATAAAAACTTCATGAAACTGTTAACACATTGGGTGGAATTTGGGGTAATCTGAATCTCTGTTCCCAGGCATGGTCACTCAAATGTTGTTCTAAAATAAACTCTCACTTTTCCCTTTTGAGGAAGAGCTATGAGTTTTATGTTGACAATCTGAACAAGGTCAGTCATCCATGTCTGCACTCCATGGAAAAGCTCCCTTCTGCTTGATACCCCCTTGGCCCCCTGGGGCTAGGGGCCACCTGCCTCCATCTCACAAGGTTTGGAAACCCAAATCCTCAATGGCGAAGGTCAGAGAGCATCCATGAGGTAATACATGAGGGTGTGGGGGCAGCTCCAGAAGGGAGGAGAGAGGAGAGAGAGAGAGAGAGAGAGAGAGAGAGAGAGAGAGAGAGAGAGAGAGAGAAAGAGAAAGAGACCAAGAAAGGCTACAGCAACAGCCTGGGATAGGAAAAGTATCAGCCCAAAGTAACAATATGGGGACAGAAACTTCTGGTATATCTATTTTAAAAACCACCTGATAGTCAAATTATGAATTGCTCTTTTTCTCTCTGGTTTTCTAGCCTGGCCACTTTGAAGCAGTGAGCTGGAAGGATTCTGCCTCTTTGTTTCTCATTGTCTCTTGGAAAATAAGACTATCAGCTGTCTCAGGGAACAGAGAAGGAAAGACAGTGTGGTAGGCTAGAATGGTGTCATCTTTGGACCTGGGAAAGGAAGGAACTTGGGATCCAGCCATAGCCAATGGCCAGAACAGAAATCCAATAATGGGGCCATAATCAGCAGTCCAACAAATGCATGGCTGGGGTGATGGTGGATGAATGGGTAGGAGGATGGATGGATAGATGGAGGGATGGAGGGATGGTGGATGGGTAGGTAGGAGGATGGATGGATGGATGGAATGATGGTAGATGGATAAGTAGGAAGATGGATGGAATGAAGATGGATGAATGGGTAGGAGGATGGATGGATGGAGTGAAGGTGGATGGATGGGTAGGAAGGTAGACAGATAGAGTGATGGTGGATGGGTAGGAGGATGGATGGAGTGAAGGTGGATGGATGGGTAGGGAGGTAGATAGATAGAGTGATGGTGGATGGGTAGGAGGATGGATGGAGTGATGGTGGATGGATGGGTAGAGGTAGATAGAGTGATGGTGGATGGGTAGGAAGATGGATGGAGTGAAGGTGGATGGATGGGTAGGGAGGTAGATAGATGGAGTGATGGTGGATGGGTAGGAGGATGGATGGAGTGAAGGTGGATGGATGGGTAGGGAGGTAGATAGATAGAGTGATGGTAGATGGGTAGGAGGATGGATGGAGTGAAGGTGGATGGATGGGTGGGGAGGTAGATAGATGGAGTGATGGTGGATGGGTAGGAGGATGGATGGAGTGAAGGTGGATGGATGGGTAGGGAGGTAGATAGATGGAGTGAAGGTGGATGGGTAGGAGGATGGATGGAGTGAAGGTGGATGGATGGGTAGGGAGGTAGATAGATGGAGTGAAGGTGGATGGATGGGTAGGAAAGTAGATGGATGAAGTAATGGTGGATGGTAGTTAGGCCAGTGGACCTTAGAAGTGGCTCTGTAAGGTCAGTATGAAAACAGAAACTGAAAAATCTGAAAAATTTTCTCAGAGATTCCCAGACAAGAATGGAAAACTCCAAACTGCCCCCACAGAACTGCCACAGCAGCAAACCCCTCACCACGGAGAACACAGTCAGATATGAAAACGAGGTGTGCCCCTCCTCACACAGAATGATGTTATCACTATACCCTAAATAAAGGGGCAAAGGCCCCGAAGCACACATGGCACACTTACTTATTTTAGAACTCTATATATGAAAGAGTCTAGAAAAATATGTCTTCAACGTCAGCAGTGGGTACTCTGGGAAAAAGAAAATCTCTTCTCCCTTTGCGCTATATGTTCTACAGACCTCACAAATAATACCAGCCTCGTTTTTGCCAACTCTCTGCTGGCAGCAGGAACCATTTCTCAAATGTACCAGGTTTTCCAATTTGGCATCAGTAGTTCCTGAAAATCAGATGTTCTGTCAATAAAAAGCCTGGAACTACTTCCCATAGGCAGGACAAATGACAAAGCATCACTGGTCAATAGCAAGCATCCACCAACGTTCTGAGTCATAACTAAACACAGAGAACTCTCCGCACACACTAACCTATCACAATAGTGTATACTGGGCCTAAAACATCTCTTCCTATTGAACAAACAATTCTGAACCCCCACTCCCAGCTGCAGTGACACAGCCTGGGTTCACAAAGCTCCAGTGACAGCTGAGATGCCAGGCACCTGAGGACCCTCGGCTGCTTCTCCAAGCATCTGTGTATGATCCTGACACCACCAGCTGCACTTGGAATTTACTTGAGATATTTCCTGCACTCACATCACTTTGTTTCATTGATGTCCAGAGTTTGGGGAACATATATATAATATTTGGGCTGGAGGTGTAGCTCAGTGGTAGAGCACTTACCCACCATGTACAAGGCCCTGGGTTCAATCTCCAGCACTGCAAAACACAAATACAACTCCACTAGAGAGACTTGGCTGAAAACACATCTGGTAAAGACATGCTTTCTAGGATAAGACATGCTTTCTGGGGCATCTGGGTTTTAGCAATTGAGAGACATCAACACCAGGTAGGCTGACAGGGGGTTGGGGGGAATGACTGCAGGGGCAGCCTCATCCTACAAAGCCAGTGGGGTCACAGCACCCCAGCAGGAGCCAAGGCAGATGCTCAGGTGGGAGGGGCTTGGAGTGTGCATCCCTCCCAGGATGGGGTGCTGCTGGAGAATGGAGAGCTAGGAACAGGGCCCCTTCCTCATTGCTGACAAGCAGAGGGAGGAAGGAGAGCTATGACTCCTGTCAATGATGACACTTTGGACATCACTCAGACGCCCTGTCAGCACCAGGCTTCTGGGTGCTCATCCAGAATTCATTCACTCCATTTGGGAGCCACTCCATGCAAAAGGCACTAAAGAGAGTCCTTTATCGGATGGATGGTCCAGGACCGGCAGTGTTCAGACTTGGAGGCTCTCAGACCTAGCACACGTGCAGGCTGTACCAGGGGCACCTCCCTAGGCCTCCCCAGGTGCCAGTGTGAATCTCAAACTCTTTGGGCACTGGGACAGTTTGGAGTGTTTTCAGATTTCTATAATGGGAGGTTCATTTTGAAGAACTGCCTCTATTCACAGGTGGCTAAGAACAGGTCCAGTCTTGTCTGGTTTGCAAGCCAATGGACAGGACTCAAGGCTGAATTTTGGAATCCTTTCCTCTCTGTGGCCTCCAGGGTGAGGGTGGGAAGGGGAGACCAGGAACTTGGGGTGCCCAACTTCACCTTCTCTGTGCTGTGGCCCTGGCCACATTGGAGCTGGCTGGCCAATATGCTCTTACCCACAGCTTCCCATCATAGTAGTAGGCTCCCAGGAGCTTCACGATGTATGGGTGGTCACAGGTGGCTAGGATCTCAATCTCCACGATGTAGTCCTCTAGCTCCTCCTCACTCTTGGTCTCAATGACTTTGGCTGCGGCCAAGGCACCGGTCTCCTTGTTCTTGGCCTGCAAAGTGGAGACATGGAAAGTTAAAAACAAGGCTGGGCAAGAAACAGCCCTGGAAAGCAACCAGGGAAGCTCAAGTGAAAACACAGGTTGATGTCCAGAGGGACTGAGATGCTGGACTGGGACAAACACCTCCCAACAACAGCCTGTGCACAAAAGGTGGCCATACAGGGGAACAGGTGCCAGAAGCAATATTCTACATTTAATAAAGGAAGGCAGAGCACATGCAACTGCTGAGTCATCTCTCCAGCCCCTAAAACTGTATTTTTGAGTCAATGAGACAGCTTAGTTGGTAGAAGCACTAGTCATACAAACCTGATGAACTGCGTTCAATCCCTGGAACCCATGTAAAAAAAAAACTGGATGCAGTGGTATGCATTTTGTAATCTCAGCACTACTACTGTGAGATGGGAGGATGAGACAAGAGAAACATCCCAAAGCTCATCGGCAGCCAGCTGGAGTACACAGTGCAGTGCAGCAGAAACAAGAGAGACTCTGCCTCAAAAACAAGGTAGAAGGAGAGCACCAACTCCCAAAAGCTGTCCTCTGACATCCACACATTCCCTGGTGCGCACACACCCACCTACACTCACTCATACATGCACATACACAATAATAATAACTAAATAACTGTTTTAAAACCCTATACTTAGCCAGGCATGGTGGTACACGCCTTTAATCAGATCTCTGTGAGTTCAAGGTCAGCTGGGGCTACTGGGAGACCCTGTCTCAAAAAGACCAAAAGAAAAGAAAAAATAAAAATAAAATAAATAAAATCCTATACTTTCAAGGACTGAGTGTGGTTGGTACATACATTTAGTCCCAGCACTAGGGAGGCAGAAGCAGGTGGATCTCTGTGAGATCCAGGCCAGCCTGGTCTATGTAGTGAGTTCAGGCCAGCTGGGGCTACAAGGGGACTCTGTCTCAAAATGACTGAGGAAGAGGAGGAGGAGGGGAAGGGGGAGAGGAGGGGGAGAAGCATGGGGGGGGAGGAGAAATGGGAAACAGGACGTGCAGGTGAGGGTATGGAGAAAGCAGATCAGGGCACTGATGGTGGGACAGACACAAAGCAACCAGCACAGACCGCACAGACCGCACTGATCCCAGAAGAAGGGACTCTAGCAGGTCTGTGCACACTGCACTATCTGCAGCCAAAGGTAAAACCCACCTAGGGACCACAAGAGAAACCAACAAGCAAAGTCTGGCACATACATGCAGTGGGGTTTTGCTGTGCCCTGGAACTGTGATCTGCCCTGGAAATGCTGGGCTAAGTGAAACCAGTCAAGCTCAAAAGACAAATACTATATGATTCTACCCATCTGAGGGACCAGAGTGATGGTCAGAGTCACAGAGACAGACACTCAAATAGAGGTTACCATGGGCTGTGGGAGGGAAAAGCAGGAGGGCCCTTTTAGCAGATACAGAATTTGTTGAGAACGATTTTTTTGGAGGGGGGTTCTTTTTGAGACAGGGTCTCCCTGTAGCCCCACCTGACCTAGAAGTCACTATGTAGACCAACCTAGCCTTGAGCTCACAGAGATCTGCCTGGACTAAAGGGGTGCGCCACCACGCCTGGGGTGAGGATGACTTTTTTAAAAACCTGGGAGTAGAGATGGCAGAAAAGATTCTACTATTTAACAATATGGAACTGTAGGTGTTTGAAAAACTATGATAAATATGATATTAAGTATATTTAAATTCTAAAAGGGGAACATGAGGAAAAAATCATGTGGGCAGTGCCACCACTCTACATCGTGAGCAGACATGAGACCCACAACTCCCTCAGTGTCCCCAGATCTGCTGGGGATGCTGCTGTGACTTTCATTCACTCCACCCACACGTGTTGTCTGGGAGCCCAGTGTTGACAGAGGATGCACTGTGTAACAATATGGCCACCAGCAGCTTCCTATCATCAAGCATGGGGGCAATGGGCATCTCAGGACTGTGAGCATCCAGTGACTCTATCCGCGACTTCCCCTGTGGATGATACTGTGGCTCACACCTGACTCTGGCCTTGGGTGACAACTCTGGACACCCCAGGACAGTCCTTCCTGTGCATCTTCAGCCTCTGAAAGACAATGTACATTCACTCACAGGACCAGAACACAGTAACCCACAGCTCAGATTCGCCCATCCCAACATGAATGAGCAAATCCAAGTTTAGAGACAGAACACGACTGGAATTTGTATCTGGGTCATCTACCTTCAAAGATTCTTTACCTTTCTATGCTGAACAATTCCCTACAATTGCCAGCACCAAGTAGCCTCTATGACCAGAGGACCCTTGCTATGCCTCAGCCAGTACAGAGTGGCCACACACAGACAGCTACATTCTCCCTGGCTTCAGGGATCAAGGTCTGGTTGGACAGGCGCCCCATCCCCTGCTGAGAGGGACCAGGTGTCTGCTTATGATGGGTGTGGCCCTAGGAGGTACCAACCTAAGAAGGTACCTTCCTGAAGGGAGTAGAGTCAAGGATGCAAAGAGGCATTTTTTTAAAAATATTTTATTTATAGCCAGGTGTGGTGGTGCCTTTAATCCCAGCACCTGGGAGGCAGAGGCAGGCAGATCTCTGTGAGTTCAAAGCCAGCTTGGTCTACACAGCAAGTTCCAGGCCAGCTGGGGCTACAGGGAGACCCTGGCTCAAAAAGACCCAAAAATTTTTTATTTATTTTATCTTATTTTATGTATATGAGTGTATTGCCTGCAGAAGTCAGATGAGGGCATCAGATCCCCTGGAACTGGAGTTATGTATGGTTGTGAGACGCCACGTGAACTGAATCCAGGTCCTCTGCAAGAGCAGATAGTGCTCTTAACCGCTGAGCCTTCTCTCCAATCCCCAAAAGAGACAATTTTATGTTCTCTTCCTTTTTGCATGTTTACTCTCAGCTCAGGAACGTGTCATGTTAAGTGTCATGTTAACATTAACAAAGCTGCAAGGCCCCCAGACCCCCTGCAGTGATTACAACTACTGCACATTGATCAGGCGCGGTCTGCCCAGCCCTGGACTTGCTTCCTAGCTGTGTTAACTCAATTATCATCTCAGCCATTTTCTAGTGTGTTGCTCTTATCAGCCCATATGCAGATGAGGAAACTGAGGCAGAGCCCCAGCCAAGAGTGTCTGGAGTACTGGCAGCATGCTCAAGGGCCTGCATGCTTCTGGTGACCAGTCTTCCTCCATCAAAGTCCTCTCCAGGCCAAAGGCCAGGAGACCATCAATACCCAGCCCAGGAGCCCAAGTTAGGTCGTGTGTGTGTGTGTGTGTGTGTGTGTGTGTGTCCCCTGTTTGTTTTGTTGAGATAGAATCTTCCCATAATCCCATATGTGGAGCAGGCTGACCTAATTCTTCACAGAGATCTGCCTGCCTCTGCCTTTTGAGTGCTGAGATTCAAGGCATAGTGTCATCACTCGGGCCTTCTAAACTCAATTTTAAAGGTTTGTTCAGAACACCTTAAAAAAATCCATTAATTAAAGCCGGACATGGTGGCACATGCCTGTAGTTCCAGCACTAGGGGAGGCAGGCAGATCTCTGTGAGTTCAAGGCCAGCCTGGTCTACATAGTGAGTTCCAGGCCAGCTAGGGCTACAGGGAGACCCTGCTTCAAAAACACACACACACACACACAAAAAATCCATTAATTAGGGCTGGAGCGATGGCTCAGCGGTTACAAGCACTGGTTGTTCTTGCAGAAGACTCAGGTTTGAGTCCCAGCATCCACATGGCAAGTAACAATGGTCCGTAACTCTAGTTCCAGGGTATTTGACCCCCTCTTCTGACCTCTACAGACATTGCATGACATGGGTACACTTATGCACATTCAGGCTTAACACTCATACACATAAAATAAAAATACATAAAAATAATTTTTTTTAAAAATCCATTAATTAAACAACCAGGAGTCCCTCCTCTCTTCTCTAGCTTCCTCCTCCTTTTCCCTGGTCCTCTCATCTTCTCCTAGCCCAGAGAAGTTAGGCAGCTCCATGCCTTTGTAGAGACAGTGAGTAAGGGCTTAGAGGAGTGGCAGGGGTGGGTGCAGGTGACCATAACACCTCCTTGACGACATGGAGTCTGGCAGAAGCCACCCATCACCTGCCTTTCAGTGCTGAGAGTTCTGGACAAGGAGGTTGTGTGCCACCTTTTCCTGAGTTTTCAGAAAAGGAAAGTTTTACCCTAAATGTGGAAGAATGAGGGAGGACTATTTTCTAGGAGTGCACAAAACCTGCTTTGCCCTACGCCCTGAAAGGCAGCATTGACCAAAGGGCTGGGCCTCTAGCAAGGAGCCAACATCAACACCAACACTGCTCCCTGGATGCCCAGTGCCTTGCTCAGATTTCAGAGGCCAGAGCCTGCTGGGGAGGGGCTAAGAAAAACAGCGGGCCACCCAGTCACTGCCAAAATCAAATTCCTTAAGAGCCTGGTTGAGGCAACAATCCATTGGCTGAGGACTGCCACCTGGCCCTGGAAGGCAAATACCATTCTTAGTCAACAGAGGAGGAAACTGAAATTCAGAGAGCCATGTGATTTGTCTCAGGTCACACAGCAATTAGTGGGGTGAAGGCCAGACCTGACACAAGCCTGACTGCTCAGAGCACCAAGTCACTTCCTGAAGGCTCAATCTCCTAGAGCTAAAAATGAAGCACAGCAGCACCCCCTGCTCACAGGGAGGATGCTAGGCCTCCCACTGACATTAAGGCAAGTACTGACCACACACCTGCATCCCAGACAGCAGACTAAGACCCGGAGGGATGGAGCCCCTAAATGGGCATTGTGGTGGAGCTCTAACTGGGGTCCAGGTCTCTCCTAGGACACTGCACTGCCTGGGGACAGCTTGCCTCTTCTTCTTTTTTTATTTTTAAAAATATTTTATTTATTATTTTTATATGTATGCATGTATTGCCTGCATGTATGTAAGTGCACCCGTGTCGCACAATGCCCTCGGAGGACAGAAGTGGCTGTCAGATCCCCTGGAACTGGAGTTATGGATAGTTGTTAGCTGCCATGT